AAGATAAGATATAGGAAGGATCAGGAGGAGGGGGGAATAGATTTGAAACAAAACAGGTTGGATAAATTATTAGAATCTAAAGAAGGGAAATTAATTTCAAAAATCTATAAATATTTACTCGAATATGATTTGGCAGAAGAATTAGTGAAAGGGCAGATGATAGCATGGGCGAGAAACATCGGGCACAGCCTACAGCTAGAAGACTGGGAAAGAGTTTGGGAAACTAATTACAGCATGACAAAATCGGTGGCCTACAAAGAAAATCATTATAAGATGTGGTATCGATGGCACCTGGCCCCCGCAAGACTTGCGAAAATGTACCCAAATGTAGATCCGACCTGTTGGAAATGCAGAAAAACACAGGGAACCTTCTACCATGTTTGGTGGCTTTGCCCCGTCATTAAGAAATACTGGAACAAGGTAAGGATATGGATAAGAGAAATTACAGACTGTGAAATTGAATTAGAACCTGAGATTTTCCTATTGGGCATGATCAAAAAGAACATCCGAAATGACATAAAATACCTAATACTTCATATAATCACAGCGGCAAGATTAGTATTAGCACAATTCTGGAAAAGCGATCGATTGCCAACAGATCAGGAATTAATACAAAAAATATATACATGCGCAGAGATGGATAGACTAACCTTAGAGTTACAGGATAAGGAAGACTCTAAATATTATGAAACATGGAATAGATGGTACCAATGGATAAACCAGAGGAAAGGAAATGGCTAGAGATGAAATTTAGAAGAAATCAATATAACAAAAAACAGCACTGTCAGAGGTATAGAATATGGAATACTTTATTGTATGTTTATATATATGTACATATAATATATATATTTATATAGAATAATGGAAATTAGTTAATAGGTGACGTTTATGTACTGTATATGTAAATTTGTCTCTCAATTGTGAGAAACTTGTACGTGTTTTTTTAAATGTTCTTTCTTTTAAACAATAAAGTTTATAAATAATAAAAAAAAAAAATGAAATGGCCGAAACCATTTTACCCAGCAACTGGGAAAGGAGCAAGGGAGATGCTCATCTGGTACATTCCACCTGAGCCACCAGATCCTTTAAGATATCTTGCCATTCATTAGATAAATAAACTCTACCCTCCACCGAATCAATAACTGCCCCTAAATGTAAGATATGTGTGGAAGGGGTCAGGTGGCTCTTCTCCATATTTATGGAGAATCCATGTGAATCTAGGGTTTGGATTATAAACTGCAGGTCCAACAGGGCCTGCTGAGGGGAACGGGCAAACAACAATATGTCATCCAAATAACATTGAAGACAAACAGAACGAAGGCGAAGAACGGCTGCCAAAGCGGCTAGAACTTTGGTGAAACAACGGGGAGCTGAGGAAAGGCCAAATGGTAGGGCCCTATACTGGAAATGGGCCCCACCATAACAAAAACGTAAAAACTGTCGGTGGGAGGGGAGGATGGGAACATGTAAGTAAGCCTCAATGAGGTCAATTGAACAGAGGAGATCGCCCCTCCGGATGCTGTCTAAAATCGAGCGCAAGGATTGCATTTTAAATTTGCGATAAACCACGTAGTGGTTTAGTCATTTAAGGTCCAGAATAGGTCTCCACCCACCCGATGACTTAGGAACTAAAAACACTCGGGAATAAAATCCCTGGCCAGCCTGGTCACGCGGCACCCATTGAATAGCGTTAATAGCGAGGAGGTGCGCGATAGCTGAGGCCATGAGGGCCTGACGTCCGGGATTATGAGAAGGCGGGCAGGGGAGAAAAGACACCGGAGGAGTGGAGAGAAATTCTATAGCCAATCCAGATCGGATGGTGGCTTGGATCCAGCGGTCAGAGTTGGAATGCTCCCAGACCTTGGCGAAGAGGGCCAATCGTCCACCAATGGGAGCTTCCAGTGAAGCACTAGTGACGGCATCGGATGGAACGACCTCCTCCCCCTCGAAAGGGCCGTCTAGCTATGAAGGGTCTGCCCCTGGCATATCTATCATGGGAGCCCTACTGTCTGTGAGCAAAATTACCGGTAGAACGAGGAGTACCCATTCCCCCATCCATTCCACGGAACTGCGGTCGTTGAGGATAAGGGGCAAAATGGGGTTCTCCCCGATGAAACATTGCAGGCAAGACCTTCCTTTTGTCTTTCGTCTCAATCAGAAAAGCCTCCAAGGCAGGATCAAACAACTTCCCCCCCGAGTAACGCACAGAGGCCAAGCACCATTTGTGACAGGCGTCAGCCTGCCAGTGACATAGCCAAATTAGGCGTCTGGCTGCAATCGATGATGCCATGGATTTGGAGGCAAAGCGCGCTGCGTGTTGGGTGGCATCGGCAGAGAACTGCAAGGCCGCGATGATCTTATTCAGGTCTTGCTTTATTCGGGTATCGTCTGGGGAAAGTGTTCCTGAAGGTGGCGAAGCCACAATAATGTGGATCGATTAAAAAACAAAGCGGTGGTAGCCGACTTAATGGCCCATGCCGCACCCTGATGTGTCCTCTGTAACACCTGGTCTGACCTACATTCATCGGGGCGTAGCCCTTCATCCAGATTACCCGGAATTGAGACATTAGAAAGCAAGGCTGCAATAGGTGCATCGATTGTTGGTACCTGCAGAAGGTCGGCCAATTAAGATGCTACCGGAAAATTTCTCCGGAGAAGGGCGGCATATAAATCAAATTAAAAAAAAAAAAAAAAAAGTTGATTTAAATCAAGCCTTTTTACTAGTGATTTAAATCATGATTTAAATCAAGTTGATTTAAATCAAATCCACCCTGGTTACTATGGCTATGGGGATGCCATTGGAAGAGCTGAAGGGCCAGTTTAAGGATAGATCATCATGGAGGATATACATCTATGTGATCACTAGTGGTTGATAACAACACAGTTTAACAGCTGCTGCCCTCTCTTCTTCCCAGTTGAGCCTTTGATTCTTCTACCTTTCGAGCCATGATTGGTGGAATGAGATGATGGATATATCTAGCTAGCCATAATTTCAATATGAAGGGTATGAAGCAGCTTTAAAAATAAAGTTTGATTTAAAGTGAGACAGCAGTAATAATTTAACAGATGTGCACTATTATCAGGACTAGGATATACCCAGTTTTACTTGTGATAATTAATTTAAATTAACTAAATAAGCATGTAGACTTTATCAAAGGTTAGAAGGGAGATGAATCATAAGGAAGGTGAACTGAAAAACTGAAAAGAGGGAAACTCTTCCAGTATTTTCTCTATTATTATACTGTGCTATAATAATAGAGAAAATACTGGAAGAGTTTCCCTCTTTTCAGTTTTTCAGTTCACCTTCCTTATGATTCATCCCCTTCTAACCTCTTGATAAAGTCTACATGCTTATTTAGTTAATTTAAATTAATTATCACAAGTAAAACTGGGTATATCCTAGTCCTGATAATAGTGCACATCTGTTAAATAATTACTGCTGTCCTCACTTTAAATCAAACTTTATTTTTAAAGCTGCTTCATACCCTTCATATTGAAATTATGGCTAGCTAGATATATCCATCATCTCATTCCACCAATCATGGCTCTGGAAAGGTAGAAGAATCAAAGGCTCAACTGGGAAAGAAGAAGGGCAGCAGCTGTTAAACTGTGTTGTTATCAACCACTAGTGATCACATAGATGTATATCCTCCATGATGATCTATCCTTAAACTGGCCCTTCAGCTCTTCCAATGGCATCCCCATAGCCATAGTAACCAGGGTGGATTTGATTTAAATCAACTTGATTTAAATCATGATTTAAATCACTAGTAAAAAGGCTTGATTAAAATCAACTTTTTTTTTTTTTTTTTTAATTTGATTTATATGCCGCCCTTCTCCGGAGACTCAGGGCGGCTTACAATGTGCTAAGCTATAGCCTTCATCCTTTTGTATATTTATACAAAGTCAGCTTATTGATAACTTGATTTAAATAATAATTTTTAAAGAGCAACTGTCATCTCTGTCCCTCAGTGACTCCTCCTCTGACCCACTGTTCACTCATCAACAGTCCCATTTACTTTAATGGGATGGCTGGTGATGCGGCAGTGACACAAGGTGAGGGACATGGCAGACAGCAGATGAGTGGATGCCCATTAACAGGCACTGCCATGATGGATCTGAAATGACAGGTGCTCTTTAATATTATATTTATAAGCTGCTTAGAAGGTTTCACTTACATTTTTACTGCTTGCCCTTCCTCCTCACACAGAATCTGGTAGTACAGATGCACTTCTCTTCAAACAATGATAGTTTGTAGTGTACATAGATTTGCAAAACAATGGGATAAAGGAATATTCCTGAATTTTGTTTTATGATTTATCTCATGGTTACTGTGAAAATTGTGTGAATGCATCAATGCAGTGCATGTTATTTTATCTTGCAGAGCTTGAATTCATTGAATGAGTTTACCAAAAATGTAAATATTGCAGAATATACAGTCTCATGCTACATAACTAAGCTCCATTTCATGCTGAATAAACTAAATTATTAATGTATCTTAAATAGAAAACTATCTTTAGATAGATTTTTACTCCAAAAGCATTTTATTAAAATAAGTTTTATATTAAAAAAATCCAATTTAAATTTTTTAAAAATCTGATTTTTTTGATTTTTTTTAAAAATCAATTTTTATCCATCCTGACAGTAATTGAATCTTTCCATCTTGCTACTGGTCATCCTCTTTCCTTCCACTCTTTCTAGCATTACATCTTTTTCCAGAGAGCTGGGTCTTTGCATAATGTGTCTGAAGTAGGATAGTTTGAACTTGGTTGTTTGTGCTTGATTAAATGCATACACACTAACACACACACACAATATTACTGGATTAGGATATGCATATCATGTCTTAAATATTATGCATTCTACACGTGATTACTTTGGTTGCTTTAGTTTCATTTTTTTCTTCAAATTAATAGTTAGCCCCTCAACCCAGATTACATATTTGTCAACATTATTCTTTTAATGCTTTTACCTTCTGGTTTGGTTTCTCTTTAGGTCTGATAAAGGAGAAAATGAAGCCATGGAATCATGTAAGCTTGTGCACTTCTGTAAACTTCCCATTTATTGCATAGTGTGAAGTAATTGAAAAATTACCTTTGTATCCAGTTTACTTAGAGTGATTACAGATCACAGCATTTTATCATTTTATCAGTGGGTTTCATAAAACTGTCAGCATTTACTAATAATCACTTCAGATTTAGACATTCCATCTTTTAAATACTATACTTTTAAATACTAAAATGGAATTAAAACTGTTTCTACAAATACAAAACATAAAAATATTTGGGCATTTATAGCCCATACAGATGATCCAAATGCTGAGATATGTTTCTTCTTCATATTGCTAACATTCACTGAGTGAATCTACTTATCAGCTTAGCTGCAGTTTAAAAAGCTATCTGCATTTTTTGAGAAGCTAATATTTTCTGCTAGATTACTCTTCTATTTCTGACTGTTGAATAGTCTAGATTTATTCCCCTTTCTCACATAGAGTTATTTTGTATGAGATGAAAGGTCATATAAATGTGATTAATAAATAAATAATATACATTTTTGACCAACTGTAATTTAACAATGGTATTCTTTATTAATTTTAATCTAGCTGGCAAACAAGTACCCCAATGTTATCCCAGTTCTGTTACATCTGCACGAACCATGATGTTGTTCAATCTTGGAAGTGCCTACTGCTTAAGAAGCGAGTATGACAAAGCGCGGAAATGTCTACATCAGGTTAAAAAAAGGATTTCTTACCTAATTTTGGGAAAAACTGTTAAAATATGGCCAACTGCAAAATTAAATCAAGATATAGAATCACCTTTGCTGTTTTCACTGGAGCAATATTTGATCCTAACAAGTTGGAAGGCAGGACTCTCTCCTCAACCATGGAAGTTAAGCATTCTCTGCAGATTTCTGCAAATATGTGTTCTCCTCTGTACAAGTCTCAGAGACCAAACCAAAGAAATACTGTTATAATTTTTAAGTTAGGAAACTTGAACGTTTCCTGTTGAATATATTATGTGTTTAGGAAAATCTCATTACAGCTTAGAAATTGTCTGTTTAAACATTTTCTTAAAGTTACTTAATTTAAAAGATGATTTAGAAAGAAGAGATGTTCAACTGTATCTTTGTGTCAATTTATATAAGCACCAATGATGTAGATTAATGCAAGTGATATAATCATATTGATTATCTATCTTGCTTTAACAACTTGTTTGGGTGTGTGTGAAATCTGATATAAAATAGTTTTTGTTGCATCAGAGGCATACTGTATTCTTTTGTTAAAAATATATTAATTTATCTCTTATTTCCTTTTTGGTATTGATACAAGGCTGCCTCACTGATTCATCCAAAAGAGATTCCACCAGAAGCTATCTTACTGGCTGTATATCTTGAGCTTCAGAACGGTAAACATTTGCTCTTTTTTAATTATATTTTTATATAGCATTTTTAAGACATAAAGGAAAGGGGAAAGAAGAAAGACACGCAAAAAAGGAACATAATAAAATAAAAATAAAACACAGAATAGCTAAATAGGGAGTTTACAGGTGTTATGCAATTAGGTTAGGATTTTCAGGGTTTCATTATTTGGGTTTAGATAAACTAAACTAGATAAACTAGACTTGAATAAACTACAAGTCATTAATAAAATCCAATATATCCAATAATATATGAGTAGCAACCAGCACAGTCAACACAGTATATATCATAAAAGGAGATTAAGAATTATAGTAATTTCTATCCAGGTAATTAAAGACTTGGTGTCAAGAGAAAAGTTGCGCCCTTACTTGGACCAAGATGCCCTATGCATTGTTACTCATGTGCTGGTCACCTCCTGTCTTTTTTTTTTTTTATAGAAACTTTATTGAGGTTTTTTACAAACAAAACAGAAATTAAAAAAAAATAGAAAAAAAGAGGAACAAAACATTCAGACAAAGACATAAAACATATAAATATAATAACATTTTCAGTTACTATCAGATGTACAGTGTTTTATCTATTTATATAAATAATACTTGGTGATATTTCAGCTAACTTTTAATCAATATTTTGCACACCTTTAGGTCTTCCTTTCATTTTATCATGCAACCACTTATACCACCTTTCCCACACCAAATAATAAACTATCTTCTCATCATTTAATTCATAGGTTAATTTAGTCATCTCTGCGCACTCGAGTATTTTCTTAATTGTAAGCTCTTCTGGTGGTTGAGTTTTCTCTTTCCAGTACTGTGCATATGCCAATCTGGCGGCTGTAATTATATGGATCATTAAATGTATCATTTCCTTTCTATATGGCTTCTTTATTATTCGCAGGAGGAAAATCTCTGGAGTTAATTCAATATCTTCATCTATTATTTCATTTAACCACCTCCTAATTTTATTCCAGTATCCTTTCGCTTCCTGGCATGTCCACCACATGTGAAAGAAGGTGCCTTGACCATGGCCACATTTCCAACAGTTGGGGTGTATATTGGGATATATTTTTGCTAGTCTGGCCGGGGCTAAATACCATCTATGGAACATTTTGTAATGATTTTCCTTGTATGTCACCGCTCTGGTCAATTTAAGATTCCTGTTCCATGCCTCCTCCCATTCTCCAAAATTTATATCACGCCCTGTGTTTTTCTCCCATGCGATTATTTGGTTCTTTGTGACATCTTCAAACTTATCGTCGCCTAGTAAGTAATTGTATAGTTTTGCCAGGATCTTTTTATTTGGTCCCAACAGGACTTTATCTAATCCATTTGGTCCAAATTCTAAACCGTATTGTTCTTTATCTCTCTGGTATCTGGATTTCACTTGTAAGTAAGACCACCAGTCTAGGATTATTCCTTGCTCTCGTAAAGTGTCATTTGATTTAAGCCTCCCTCCTTCGTCTAAAATATCTTTATATCTGCCCATTTTCTCCCTCTCCCATCTATTGGGGTGGGTCAGGGCCTCCATCGTTGAGAGCCAATTTGGTTTTTTTTTGTAATATTTATGCCTGATCTGGGTCCATGTTTGTATCAGGGAGTCTCTGATTTTATGTCTATGGAAATGTGTCTTCCTTTTCTTCTCCATGTCCCAAATGTGGGCGTGCCACCCTTTTTGCAAGTCATGACCTTCTAGGGTAAGTATCCTCTCATTTTCCAAGGTGATCCAATCTCTTATCCAAACTAGTTTAGCTGCCCTGTAGTATGTTTGCCAGTCCGGGAGTCCAAATCCGCCTATATCTCTTTTGCCCCTTAAAATTTTAATGGAAAATCTCGGTTTTTTCCCTTCCCATATAAATTCTCTGATAATTTTGTCTAATTCTAGAAAGAAATTTTTATCTAAATGTATCGGTATATTTTGGAATAAGAATAATATTCTAGGGAGGATGTTCATCTTAATTGTGGCTATCTTGCCCAATAGTGATAATCTTATTTTTTTCCATCTGTCTAGGTCTTGTTTCATTTTTCTGATTAGGGGGGTATAATTATCGTCTTTCAGGGTCGAACATCTTGATGTAATCCAAATTCCTAGGTATTTAATTTTTTTGGCAACCTGTAATCCTAATACTTCTTCTATCTCGTTTTTCTGGCTCTCTGTTATGTTCTTGGTCAATACTTTGGTTTTAGTTTTATTCAATATAAAACCTGCCACCTCTCCATATTTACTTAGTTCCTCTAATACTTTTGGTCCCGATTCTATGGGGTCTTCGAGGATTAGGGCTACGTCGTCCGCAAATGCTTGTGTCTTATAGGTCTCCTTCCTGATCTTCAATCCTTTTATTTCCTCATTGGTTCTGATTTTCCGTAGAAGAACTTCTAGGGCCAAAATAAACAATAGTGGGGATAGGGGACAACCTTGCCTTACTCCCTTACTAATTTGGAATGTTTTGGTCCTATCTCCATTCACCAAAATACTCGCCTTTTGGTTATTATAAATAGATTTGATCATCATTTCAAAATTTATTCCGAATTTCATAATCTCAATTTGTTTAGTCATAAATTTCCACTTTAAATTGTCAAATGCCTTTTGAGCATCAACAAAAATCAGGGCCATCTGTTTCTCAGGGTGTTCTTCATAGTACTCTAGAGTGTCTAGCACGATTCTCAAATTGTCCCTAATTTGTCTCCCTGGAAGAAATCCATTCTGGTCTTTATATATCCAATTATTTAAAATCTTTTTCATTCTTTCTGCCATTATACCCATGAATAATTTGTAGTCAGTATTTAGGAGTGAAATTGGTCTATAATTTTGAATTTGTTTTGGGTCGGCACCTTCTTTCGGCACAAGTGTAATATGCGCCTCTTTCCATGACTCTGGAATTTTATAATCTACCAGTGCATCATTAAAAATTTCTACTAATTTCGGTTGGAGTGTTTCTTCTAATTTTTTATATATTTCCCCTGGGAATCCATCGGGTCCTGGAGCTTTGTTATTTTTCAATTTGGAAAGAGCTACTTTTAATTCTTCAATTGTAATCTTTCTATTAAGCATTTCTTTCTCATCATCAGTTATTTATGGGAGCTCTGCATTTGTCAAATATTGTTCTATTTTGTCATCCGGTACCTCCTCTTCTTTGTATAGGGATTCATAGTATTCTCTCACCCTATCCAGTTTTTCTTCCTCATTTGTCAATATTTTACCCTTAGAGTCTTCTAAAGTATGAATTATTCCCCTTTTGTTTTCCTTTTTTAATTTATAGGCCAGCCACCTGCCCGATTTGTTAGTATTCTCAAAAAGATATTGTTTCGTTCTTTTCATTCTTTGTGCCAGCTCTTCTTGCTCCATGATATTTACTTTATGCTTCCACATCATCCAATTTTCTTTGGCTGTTTCATCTTCTGGGTTATCTTGAAGTTTTCTTTCTGATTCACCTATATGATTTAAATATTCTTCCAAGGTCTTCCTTTCTTCTTTATTTTTGTGTGCGGTATATGAAATCACAACTCCTCTCAGATAGGCCTTCATTGTGTCCCAAACTATTGTGCGAGATGTGCCTTTGTTTTCATTTTCCTTAAAGAAAAAATTTATTTCATCTTTGAGTTTTTGTATACAGTCTCTATCGCCCAGTAGTTTAGCATTGAACCTCCACCTCCGTTGGTGTTTTCTCTGAACAGGCTTCCATCTGATTTCTAGTGGATTGTGGTCTGCCCAATCGTTTGGATTGATTACCGCTATTCCAATTTCTAACCCCAAATTTCTGCTGACCCATGCCATGTCAATTCTGGACCACGACTTTTGTGCATTTGAAAAGAAGGTGTATTGCCTATCGTTTGGGTGCAGGGCACGCCAAATATCAATTAGGTCTAATTCATCAACTAACTCAAAGAAAACTCTCGGTAGATTTGTCCTTTTATTTTTTTTTAACTTTATTGCTCTTATGATCCTTCTCTGAATCCACAATGCCATTAAAATCCCCTATCATACAGATTTCGTTATATGCCATTTTCACTAATTGTTCATGAAGTTTCTTGAAAAATTCTCCCTGTTTTTTATTTGGGGCATAAATACCCACTAATAGTACCTTGGAATTCCCTCTCTTAATTTCGATCATGAGGATTCTACCCTTTGTATCTTTAAATTTTAGTTCTGCTTCAATTCCTTTTTTAACATAGATTACCACCCCCCTCTTCTTTTTCTCTGCCAACGAATCAAATGTTTGACCAAATTTTTTATATTCTAAACATTTACTCTCTTCTTTTTTTATGTGCACCTCTTGCAAACACATTATATCAACATTTTGTTTACCTAGTTTTGTTAATATTCTTTTCCTCTTTTTATAGTCATTTAGACCATTTACATTTACAGATATTAGTTTCAAGTCATTCATCGCTATACCCCTATCTAGTTGTTGGTTCTTGTTTGTTTCTTACGGCCCTTACTGGTCTTGCTTTCTTCTCTTTAGCTTCTTCTTCTTCTTCTTCTGTCTTCTCCTCTACGGTTGCTTCGTTCATGTTCTGTTGGTGTAGGGCTTCCTCCTCCACTGCTGCTGTTTCTAATTCTTCTTTGCTCCCCTGCTCTTCTTCCACACCTCTCAGCTGGTCAAGGAAATCTTGTGCTGTACTCAGGTTTTCTATTTTAATTTTTCTTCCTTGCCAGGTTATTAGCATCCCTTCTGGGAGAAGCCACCTAAATAATATCTTTCTTTTATTCAACTGTATGGCCAAAAATCTATATCCTTTTCTCAACTCCCGAACCCTTCTTGGTATCTGTTTTAGGATTATTATTTCTTTTCCTCGGTACGTTATCTGTTCGTCTCTTGCCATATTGTATAAGATATCTTTAACTTTTTTCCTTGCGAAGTGAATATGTACTTCTCTAGGAAGCTTATTCCTTCTTGCATAGTTAGTCTGGACCCTGTATACGTCATCCAACTCCCTAATTATCGCCTGTTTGTCTTGGTGAAGTGCATCAGCTATCAGCTCCGCCATCTTTTCCCCTAGGTCTTCCTCTCTATCCTCGACAACATTCTGAAATCGCAAATAGAAGGAAGCCCGGTCCATCTCCAATTGGATTATTGAATCTTCTAGCTCTTTATTTTGACTTGTCAATGTTTGATCCACAGTATCCAATTTCTTTTCAGTTTGGTCAATTCTTGTTTCGGCTTTTTGAATTCGCTGTTCATTTTTAACTATTGATGTTTGGATTTCATTCATTTTCTGGTCCAATGCATGTATGTCTGATTTTAATTCAACATGATTATTTAACAGTTTTTCCTGCATTGCCATCATCG